ACAAAAAAACCCGACATTTTAACTAAAAGATCTCGAGAAAATCAGTTAAAGCTCTGCGACTAACGTTTGGAGTGTACTATGGAAAAAAAGTTTCTAAGGTAAGAACCTCTAAGCGGGAACCTCGGGAAGGCAGCATCCCAGAATATGCGTGTTTTGAGAAAGGGAAACAAGCTAGCACGATTTTCGGAATTTTAAAAGCCCCTGAGCATAGGAAAAAGAGACTAAAGGAGTTGAGACCCTCTTCAAGTGTTGTGGGGAACACTTTGCGAAAAAGACTGTGGCACCCAAGGGTCAGGGGGGCGAGTCTGTTGCAAAGGGAAGGGACCAAAAACTGAAATAAAGTCCCAATAAATTTTAAAGGGGGCCCCAGGCTAGAAGGGGAAACCCCCAGTTAGAGGATGAAAGTGAGTCGAGCCTGAAGTTGGGAAACCGCGTGATTAGTGGGAGTGAAGTTTCCCAATTCCCAGTGAGAATCACAAAAAAAAAAAAGGTGCTGCCCTAACCCCAGTCATGGCGAAGGTTTTAATGGGGACAGGTTTCCCAAAAAAACCCGGGTTATTCTTTTAAACCCCTGGGGGAAAGTACCTTTATAACAAAGAAAATTTTGGGGGCCTAAATTTAAAATTGAAGGGGCCCAAAAGGGAAAATTTTAAAGGTTTTTTTGGGGGGGGCCCATAATCCCGGGGCCCCACCTAGAAACTTAAAGAAAGTGTTTTGGGTGTCCCCCAGTCAAAAAATTTGGTGGGCATTTACAGAGACATTTTCAGCCCCTTTGGGGGTAGAGACGTTTTCCCCAGGGGAATTAAAAGCGTGGGGGTTTTTGCTGCAGAGTAAGTGATTGAAAGACCTTGCGTGAAGCGGCAGACCAGGGAAAATTTCCACTGAAAACAGTCAGAAAGGGAGGTATCCCCGGTGGGAGCCAAATTTGATAGATGACTTTCCCGTTACATCAAAGGGAAAGTTTAGGGGAAAGGGAAAAGGTTTATACAGTCCCCCGTAGGGTCATCCCCTAGGCGGCAAAAAATTTTCCCCCCTAATTCCCTGCGAAAAACCCGGGCCAAAAGGTAAAAGGGCATGTGGGCCACTGTGTTTGGGGGAAAGTACAGAAACCACTCAGTCAAGGCTAGACATTTTTAAAGAATTTTTAAAAAATTTAAAGGGGAAAAGGGGGCTAAGACCCCCTGGGAAACCAAAAAAGTTTACACCCCCAAAGGGCCACACAGGGGGGAAAATGGAAAAGTTGAAAAAAGACGGAGTCTTTTCTCGACGAGAGTGGCCCGGGCCCGGGACTCGTGTCCAGGGCCTTCCCTGGGGGTCGCGGAAAAGGGGAACTTGATTTAAAATTAAATGGCCTAACCCTTTTCCGGTGGGAGGATGTTTGGAACTTATTAAGGGTTTGGGAAGGGCCCAACGGGGAAAAAAAACCCCCGTTTGAAGGGGGGCCCCCCCACACCCACCCAAAAAAAAAAAACACCCCCCCTCTCCCGGATTGGCGAGGGGGGATGGTAAAGGGACTACTTTAAATTTTTAAAATTTACCCTTCAGGGAAGAAGTTTGGGGAGTTTTTACGTTTTAAAAAAATATATTAGGATTATTGAGGGAAAAAGTAGATAATAATAATGTTGACCTTTAAAAACCTTAACATGGGATTTAAATTTGGCCCAAAGTAGGCCCCACTAGGTTTTTTTACCGGGGAAAGAACTGGCCCGCTCAAGTTTTTAATGCTGGGGCACCCGGGTTTTGAGACTGCAGTGCTTTCTTCTATGAAACCCGGAACCCAACATCTGGACAAAACATGCCGTGATAGCAGTACGGGGGCCCCCCCCCCGTTCTTTACATATGGGCCTGGGGAAAACGGTTTGGAAGGCACCTCGACGAAAAATAGATTTTTTTCCCCTTTTAAGGGGCCCCTACAGAAAAACAAAACCTCCCCCTTTTTCTTAAAGATTTTGCCAGTTGTCTGGGGAAAAAATTTCGGGGTTTAGTTTAGCTGTGGGGGTTTGGGCAAACCGGCAGTTCATGATAGTTTAGTACGTTCTTTGTTCTTGTCTACCCAGGAGCTAGTGTCCGTTTTCCCGCATAATTTTTTACTAGGGGAACACCCCTCCCTTTGGGTACAGGAAAATTTTTGGGTTGGGAGGCAGGTCACTAAATCAATTGAATATTGCAGGAAAATTTAAGGCTCCCCGGTTGCACGTGAATTTTTTGAGGGGAAAAATCCAAAGGGGGTAAGCTTAGGGAGGTTTTTAAGATTTAGGATAAATGGGTGAACACCAAAATAAGTTTAGCCCTTTAAAAAGTGCTGCAGGCGAGGTTTTTTTTTTTCAACATCAGTAAATTTTAAAGAAAAAACTGTCCATAAGCCCCCTTGTGAAATTTAGGTACCGACCCAGAGCTCGGGTGCAAAAAGAGCTTGCCCCGGGTAAAGGGGACTCACTTGGGGCAGTCCAGGGAAAAAATTTTTACATTAGAAGCCTGAGTAGATCTATAACCCACTATGATAACATGAAAAATAGTAATATGTTTATGGGGCAACTCGCAATGTGAACAGACCCCGACTTTATGTTGTAGTGGCCAGGCTTAGGCTTAGTTACAATTCTTTTGGCATTTTTTGGGGGAAAACCCAGATGATGATCAAAATAAATGTAAAAATTTTGTGATCGGGATATGGTCCCCTGTTTTTGAACACTATTTTCTTAATTGTCCCCCCTTATTGAAAGGGAATTTCAGAGATAGGGCAGTATAATAACCTACGTGACCCTGTCAAATATTTATTAATGAAAAAAAGATACCAAGGGATACAAAACAAATTTCCTAAAAATTTTCTTGTAACAGATAAGTGAATACAGATATGTAGATATAAATCCATATTTTTCATGTTAAATCTTTGGGGCCTAGATCCTAGGCCTTTTGTGTATCCATATGCTCTTTTCGCTACCGTCCCAGGTTGGAAGTTTGGGGTGCAAAAATAAAAAAATACCACTTTCCCGGGGGCAAAATCTAAAAATTTTAACCCTCTACTGACAATCCATTAAGACATCCTGAGGGTGCTGTGGCAACAATTCAAAATACCACTCTTTCCCCCTCTCCCCCGCGGGCCCCACTGACAAAACCCCAAAAAAAAAAATCCCGTTTTTATTTTTTTTATTTTTATTTAATTTTTTTAATTTAACCCAAATTTTAGCCCCACATCAGAAAGGGACAAAAAAAAACAGATAAGAGCAGCATGCCAAAGCCACTTATACTATGCATAGCATTTTTTCGGGTGGCTTAAAATTAACTTTAAAATTAACTAAGGGAAAGATGAAATTTAGTGATAAAAAAATTAAATTTTAAACAGATTACTATAAAGCACAAGTGAGTATTAAAAAAGACAGGGCCCTATGGTTTTCATGCATTGTTTTTACATTCAGTCGTATGAAAATAAACTGTTAGGTAGTGTATTTTTAAAAAAATAAATTTTAAATTTAAATGGGTTTTAGGTTTTTAAAATTTATGTGAATAATTTTGGAAAACATTTTTGATAAAACAATTTATAAAAAGGGTTTTGTTTTTCATATTTATTTGGTTTTTGGGGTGAGTAAGTGATCTTTTTTAGAAAAGACTTGAATTTTTTAAACAGGAAATGTTTTTTTTTTATATTTTTCAGGTAATGAAATTTCCCCTTTTTTAAAAGGGCCCTTTTTTGTGCATTGATTTTTGGGATAGTGTGAGGGTGGACACGAAGGGAAAATCAAAGGGTGACTTGTGGCCTTGTGTTAAGGTCATGTGTTCCCTTTTGGGGTTTGGGAAGGAGAAAGTTTGGGGGGGAAAGGGTTTAAAACAGAGTTAAGTGTTTTATGTATGTAAAGGGGCAGTAATAAGTATGGATGTTTTTTTATGGTGAGTATTTTTTGTGTTTTGAAATTGGTGGGGGTGGCTGCCTTTAGTGAGAATTTTTTTTATCAATTTTAACTGCAGGGCCCTTTTGCTGGGTAATTAGTGGTCTGAGATGGTTAATTGTTGTTGAGCCCCATGCAAAAATTCCATAGGTGAGATAGGGTAAATAAGAGAGTGATATAGGGCCAGGAGGGCTGACTGTGGAACATAGTACCGTATCTTCGATAGTATGCCTACAGTCTTGGAAATTTTCTTAGAAATTTGTTGTATATGTGTATGAAATTTGATTCTATTATCAAGGTGGATTCCTAAGAATTTTCCCTCTGTTAGCTTTGTGATAGGTGATCCGTTTATCATTATGTTAAGAGGGACATCTGTAGCTCTGTTACCAAACTGAATGAAGTAGGTTTTGTCAATGTTTAGTGTAAGTTTGTTAGTCCTCATCCAGGTAGATATTTTCTGTAATTCGGTATTTACAGTATTGGCTAGCGTGACTGGGCTCGGGTGGGAGAAGACGTATGTAGTGTCATCTGCAAATAGTGTGGGTTTGAGTAATTGCGAAGCATTTGGTACCTGGAGGTTACCTGGAGGTTATTCCGGGGATCAACGCCCCCGCGGCCCGGTCCATGACCAGGCCTCCCGATGGATCAGGGCCTCATCAACTAGGCTGTTACTGCTGGCCGCACGCAGTCCAACGTACGAGCCACAGCCCGGCTGATCCGGCACTGACTTTAGGTATCTGTCCAGCTCTCTCTTGAAGGCAGCCAGGGGTAGGTCATTTATGTATAGGACAAAGAGAAGAGGGCCAAGGACACTTCCCTGTGGGACACCAACTGTAATTGGTTGTGCAGAAGAGTTTGCCCCATTTGCGTACACATATTGGCTTCTGTTGCTGAGGTATGACTTGAGGTAGTTGAGGGAGTGCCCTCTTATACCATAGTGTGACAATTTTACGTGGAGCAAGTCATGGTCAACTGTATCAAAAGCTTTACGTAAGTGAATGAAGATCCCCAGTTGGACTTCTTTTTTCTCTATTGCAGTGTATATATGTTCTGGCATGTGTATAATAGCTTGGTCTGTCCTGGACCATTATAAGCTCGTGAATTATTTATTTGAGTCAGCCTGGCTACTGCGACCTTTGTTAACTATCATCCTCACACTGTTTCCCCTCCCTCTTCCTCTCTGCTACAGTATGGGCTGTACTCTGCCTTCATTCCCTGCTTCGTATACTTCCTGCTGGGGTCGACCAGTGAGGTCAGTATCGGACCAACAGCCATCATGTCCCTCATGACGTACCAGTATACCGGTCAGGGCGGGGGTGACTATGCTGTTCTCCTCGCCTTCATGGCTGGCATCATAGAACTGGTCGCTGGCATCGTCAACTTAGGTAAGTTCCTTCACTTTGGAGACAAGGGAGAGTTGCTGTGTCTTACATGCAGTAAGTTCGGCTTGATTATGTAAGTTTATTCAGGTATACACAAATACAGTTACATAGGTTATCATACATAGCAGCATATGTGTAGAGAACCTGGGATAATCCAGAAAAGTCAGACATCGACTTATTTCCATTGGGGTCCTTTTACCTTATTATTATAATATAAAGGTTATAATATTTTCTTATTCTATAATGAAGATAACATCTTATTATCATACTAAAAAGACTATCTACTACACGAGGGCCATTACTAGGAATAAGGTAAAATCTACACGTGTGATAGCTAAAAAATACAAAATCATTCCCGTCCCTTTCTGTAGCTACATTCATCAGACACCTTTTGGCACTCTTCTTGAAGTGGTTCATGCTTTGACTGGCTTTGACATGTGCGGGCAGTTTACCTGGAGTTTACCTGGAGAGAGTTCCGGGGGTCAACGCCCCCGCGGCCCGGTCTGTGACCAGGCCTCCTGGTGGATCAGAGCCTGATCAACCAGGCTGTTGCTGCTGGCTGCACGCAAACCAACGTACGAGCCACAGCCCGGCTGATCAGGAACTGACTTTAGGTGCTTGTCCAGTGCCAGCTTGAAGACTGCCAGGGGTCTGTTGGTAATCCCCCTTATGTGTGCTGGGAGGCAGTTGAACAGTCTCGGGCCCCTGACACTTATTGTATGGTCTCTTAACGTGCTAGTGACACCCCTGCTTTCCATTGGGGGGATGGTGCATCGTCTGCCAAGTCTTTTGCTTTCGTAGTGAGTGATTTTCGTGTGCAAGTTCGGTACTAGTCCCTCTAGGATTTTCCAGTGTATATAATCATGTATCTCTCCCTCCTGCGTTCCAGGGAATACAGGTTTAGGAACCTCAAGCGCTCCCAATAATTGAGGTGTTTTATCTCCGTTATGCGCGCCGTGAAAGTTCTCTGTACATTTTCTAGGTCGGCAATTTCACCCTGCCTTGAAAGGTGCTGTTAGTGTGCAGCAATATTCCAGCCTAGATAGAACAAGTGACCTGAAGAGTGTCATCATGGGCTTGGCCTCCCTAGTTTTGAAGGTTCTCATTATCCATCCTGTCATTTTTCTAGCAGATGCGATTGATACAATGTTATGGTCCTTGAAGGTGAGATCCTCCGACATAATCACTCCCAGGTCTTTGACGTTGGTGTTTCGCTCTATTTTGTGGCCAGAATTTGTTTCGTACTCTGATGAAGATTTAATTTCCTCATGTTTACCATATCTGAGTAATTGAAATTTCTCATCGTTGAACTTCATATTGTTTTCTGCAGCCCACTGAAAGATTTGGTTGATGTCCGCCTGGAGCCTTGCAGTGTCTGCAATGGAAGACACTGTCATGCAGATTCGGGTGTCATCTGCAAAGGAAGACAACGGTGCTGTGGCTGACATCCTTGTCTATGTCGGATATGAGGATGAGGAACAAGATGGGAGCGAGTACCGTGCCTTGTGGAACAGAGCTTTTCACCGTAGCTGCCTCGGACTTTACTCTGTTGACGACTACTCTCTGTGTTCTGTTAGTGAGGAAATTATAGATCCATCGACCGACTTTTCCTGTTATTCCTTTAGCACGCATTTTGTGCGCTATTACGCCATGGTCACACTTGTCGAAGGCTTTTGCAAAGTCTGTATATATTACATCTGCATTCTTTTTGTCTTCTAGTGCATTTAGGACCTTGTCGTAGTGATCCAATAGTTGAGACAGACAGGAGCGACCTGTTCTAAACCCATGTTGCCCTGGGTTGTGTAACTGATGGGTTTCTAGATGGGTGGTGATCTTGCTTCTTAGGACCCTTTCAAAGATTTTTATGATATGGGATGTTAGTGCTATTGGTCTGTAGTTCTTTGCTGTTGCTTTACTGCCACCTTTGTGGATGTGGGGCTATGTCTGTTGTTTTTAGTAACTGTGGGACGACCCCCGTGTCCATGCTCCCTCTCCATAGGATGGAAAAGGCTCGTGATAGGGGCTTCTTGCAGTTCTTGATGAACACAGAGTTCCATGAGTCTGGCCCTGGGGCAGAGTGCATGGGCATGTCATTTATCGCCTGTTCGAAGTCATTTGGCGTCAGGATAACATCGGATAGGCTTGTGTTAATCAAATTTTGTGGCTCTCTCATAAAAAATTCATTTTGATCTTCGACTCTCAGTTTGGTTAGCGGCTTGCTAAAAACTGAGTCATATTGGGACTTGAGTAGCTCACTCATTTCCTTGCTGTCATCTGTTTAGGGGCCCAATACTGGACGTCTGTTCCATTCCTATATTGCTGTACAATAAAAGGTGTTTGAAGCCTGGCCACTGACTGTGGCTACTACAAAGTTGTGCTCTCTCCCCCTAGTACTATGATTGCTTTGGTTCCCAACCTTGACAAAATTGGCAGCAAGATATTCTGGACACTGTGAGCAATTTTATGAACATGATTTAGCTTCAGTTGTTTTACTCTGTCTTCAACATTCAGCATATCCAACTGCTGTAATTCATCCTGGCCTACATGCTCTCTTGGACCCAGGCTCAGGATGAATCTCACAAATTTATTCTGGGTGATTTGCAGTCTATCTTTCAGTTGTTTTTTTTGTCAAGGCTGAGTACCATGAAGAGCAAGCATAATCCATATGACACTGTATAAGGGATAGACATAGGGTCCTTCGACCCGAAAGTAAAACCTGTGCTTGTCTAAAAGGGAATTTCAGTCTGACATTCATTTTCTTTACTAAATTTTTCCCTATCAATTCTCCTGAATGCGGGTAAAAGGGGTTTCCCCCAATTTTTTTTACTGAGAAAGCAAAGTGAGGCTCCCCATTACGCGGACTTTAAAAAATTTCCCCTTCTCATTTTATGTTTCGTTCCAAAGAGAATGGCTTCATTTCCGAGGTGTAATGATAGTTTGTTGTCTACAACCTTTTGCGCAGGACTCCAGTTCCTTATCAATTAAAATTGGAGTCTTGTGCCCTTTTTTATATTTTTAGATTGAACTCAGTTGTACATACCATTTACCATACATAGTCAATCCCAAATTTTCATTACATTAGACCATAGGCAACTACAGTGAGAGACTGGTGCATTTTTAATTTGTTTTTTTTATATTATTAATAAACCCCTTTTTTTGTACTAAAGCTCATTCTAGCTCAAAACATGACCCACAAAAGTCATTATATTAGACCTGGGGAAATTTGCAAGTGAGACTTTTTCATTTTTAATTTTTTTTTTTAATTACTAGTTTTTTACCTAGTTTTACTTTATTTTATTCCCAAAACAACACTAACAACATCAAATTTATTATGTTAGAGTGCTATACTCTATAGACCAAAATACCTACTTATACTTACCAAGCTTCCCACCACTACGATTCAGACAGAAATAACCACAACTCAGGGTAAAATAACCAAATTTAAGCCAGAAGATGGTTTATCACGTTGACCCTGACAAACCCCCCATAATCTGACACCCAATCAAAACCTATTGGAAAGTAACTGCCTTTATTACACAGCATCACAAGCCATACTATCCTAAACAATGCTAAAAGTCTATCAGTACTTAACTACAACATCAGGTCCTTAAGCAAACACTATGATGACCTCCTGGCACTCCTTGAATCACTAAAGACACCCTTCTCCTGCATTATTCTCACTGAGACCTGGCTTAAGCAGGACACAATAGATATCTACCCTCTAACAGGATACACTGCAATTCACAAATGCAGACCAAACCAAGTTGGGGGCGGTATTGCAATCTATTACTCTAACCAATTATCTTGTATTAGCACCACTTGCTTTAGTGATGAATATGGGGAATACATTTTTGCTAATTTTACTGTAAAAAACCTTAAGACACCTATAACAATCGGTGCCATTTACCGGATACCTCACACAAACATCCCAAATTTCAGTGAGAAATTAAAGTCACTAATAACAAACAGACAAATGAATAAGTACCACCTTCTCTTAGCTGGAGACTTCAACATCAACCTTGGCTTACTAGATGATCAGCCTGTAACTGATTTCATCAACAATATGAACAACACACTTCTCATACCAACAATAACTAAACCAGCCAGGCTCACTGAGACAAGTGCAACCATAATAGACCACATATGGACCAATATACTAGCCCCCCTCAAATCAGGGATAATCACAGATAGCACTACAGACCACTACCCTACCTTCCTCCTGACAAACATTAGTAAACCACCACTTGAATACAACAGTCTCATTTAGACTCCATGACGAGGCCTCAATAAGGAAGTTCACAACTGACCTAGAGACTGTTGACTGGCCTACAGAATTCTCCAAGGCCAATGGTATTGATAACTGGACAACATTTTTCTCAACAAATTACTTAGACTATACAACAAACATTGTCCTAATAAAAACGAAACAGATCACAAACAAACGGCTTGGTTGCCCATGGCTAACCAGCACCATTCTGAAATCCATTGACAAGAAACACCAATATGAAAAGCAAATATAGACAGGGCTTAATACACAAAGATATTCTTAAACCCTATTCATCAGTTCTCACCAAAGTAATAAATAAAGCCAAACAACTATACTACTCCAGTAGATTCACAGACACTAGAGGAGATATAAAAAAGACCGGGAAAACACTCTCTCAGATTCTAGGGACCCAAAAACCCTGAAAAAAAACAAAAAAAATTGCCTTTAACCCAAAACCTAATAAAACCCCACTACATACCCCCTGACACAGCTAAAAAGGGTAAACGACTTCTTCTCAACCATAAGATCTAATCTCGCCCCCAAAAAAAATTTCCCCCATTAAACCCTTTCCCATGGGCCCGGGGCTATTAGGGGGGAATTTCCCAAATTCCTTCTTTTCCTTTCCCAACCCGGGGCCCAGGGAAGCCCCGAGATTAAAAAAGCAACTTAAAAAAAACTCTTGGGAAACTTTTTTTTAAAGCCCCCCCATTATTTTTACTAACGAGCGGGGGCCCCT